TATATATTTCCGTATTTATCATATCACACACACACACACACACACACACATATATATATATATATATATATATATATATATATATATATATATATATATATATATATATATATATATAAATATATATGTGTGTGTGTGTGTGTGTGTGTGTGTGTGTGTGTGTGTGTGTGTGTGTGTGTGTGTGTGTGTGTGTGTGTGTGTGTACATATATATATATATTCCGATACACGCGCATGATAACTGTTATTGCCACCATTAGCGTCATTTTGTGCCATGCTGAGTTATGCACACACTTACAAAGTTGTATGACTGAATAAACGTTTAGTCTAGCAATGATTTATAGTAACACACAACATAAAATTAAATTATCAATAAATGCATGGATTTTTTCTGTCCGTTGCAAATAGTATATCAATTATCAATTTCCTACACGTACGTGCATATGTATATGTATGAACATATCTACACACACACACACACACACACACACACACACACACACACACACACACACACACACACAATTCACTGTATATGTCCAGACTTTTAGAAAGTTACGCCTTGAAATATCAAAACATCAGCCGATATTAATATAATTTCGCGAAAGCAATCAACATTCTGCCACAGTCTGAACTTCGAACTCATGGCGACCGTAGAACGACCTGCAATAAATATCTTTTTCTTCTTCTATTATTTAATTTTCTTGCAAGAGCCGCCCAGCTTCCTTCGAAGACTCCCCTTCGCACCTTGGAAACTAAGGCTAAATTACTCCATTGAATAGCCTAGTCCTAAGATCTGATTTGGCATTTTGTCGAGGCGGAAATTATTGGGGGCCAGAGCGAGGGGCAAAGCAATAAGGGAATAAGGATAGACGGAAAGGAAAGGGGGAGAGAATAATCGTATCAGTGACAATGGTAAATGAGTAAAAACATAGAAGAATGAGAATATATGAGAGAAGGATTAATATAAAAATTGCATATATATGGATGAGAATGTGAGTCAATGCTAGATATGAAAAATAATTGTATGTGAACATGAAGCAATGTTGTATATAGAAATATATGAATGTGAATATGAGGTAATGTTAAAACAAATCTTCAAGTGAATATAAGGCAATATTAAACAAAGTTCGAAGTGAATATAAGACAATGCTACGGAAAAGAATACAAGGATAAGGCTATAAGGGAGCAGCTAAAGTGGGCGGCAGGAAAAAGGGTTGCATGAGACGTGACATGTAAAGAAGTCAAAGGAGACAACATCGTGGATAAGCGACACCTTAAAAAAAATACAAGAGTGCCATGATGCGTCTGAATAATGCTGTGGCCGAGGAAATG